ATTTTTAGGTATTGATTTCTTAAACCTCCTCCTTCATTCATATTTTTTGTTCCTATGTGTCAGAGAGTAGTCGTCGAGAGGTGCATCAGGTTGAGGTGACAGTGAGCGAGATCGGGATTATCGAGTAAGTGTGAGAGGAGACGGAGCCGGAAATTCACGAAGAAAGAGGTTTATGTGTGAACCGGCTTTGTTGTGTATGGGCCTGAAAATTTAAGGATGACCACAAACTCTATTAGAGATGGTGAATACATAAAGCTATTTAAACAAAGTCACCTCACAGAAGAAGCTGAAGTACGTAGATTTTCCCTCTTTGTATACTAAAAGATCATGTGCTTTCTTTTGTACGAAAATATAAAGTGTTTGAATGAGAATAGTCACATTTGTAAATAATCAAATATCAATTACAAAATAAACCAACATAAACTATTATAAAACCGAAGTTGGTAGAAGATGATACTTTGGTAAAACTGATTAATTGATTAGTTTGTGTTGTTTGGTCAGATTCCTCCGTATGTACGTGGGTTTTCTAAATTTATCATCTTCATAAATAGAACTAAAAATTTACATGATTAAATTACTGAATTGCATAAAATATTATATACATATGAAAGCAAGTGTCGTTTTTTCTGGCCGAGTTATCGTATCTTGATGAAAAAGTTTTGTGTTTTCCATTTACAGAGCACTCTGCTTAGCCCTCTAATAGCAACGGATTTGGTTTCCAATCAAGTCAAAACTTTTGACTTCTCAAGCAGACGAACTTGCATTCCTTCTTCATCTTTTTGTCAACTTCTACAGAAAAATCAATTTCTTTCCACATTCAGATTCTGCAACTTCACGGTATGTTTGCTTATTTTTGCCTTTTTATATTAATAAATATAATATGCCTCAACATTATTGCTTAGGTAAATTTTGTCATTCAACTTCAAGGGAAGACCTGTAAGATGATTAGAATAAAGTAGAGCATATCCGATTAGTCACTGACTAAGTTAACAGTGCTAAGAATCAGAAGAAAGCTATTTTGGAGCTCATTCTTATGAGTATCAGATTAAGCTTGACGTAGTTTTTTTTTTTTTTTTTTGGAACACAAGCTTGACGTAGTTATTTTGTTTATTTTGTGATGATCTCTCAACTTTTGTCTTTCCAATAAATAAATAAAAAAAACAGTTATTCAATAATGCTACGTATGTGAGCAAGTTATGCTTTGTTGACTTCGAAGCAGCACAACTTTGTGAGAAGGAAGAGATGGAGCTACAGAACTTTTATGCACAGGATCAGAGTAAACAACTTTTGTATAGTTTATCCTAACAAATATACGAAAAGGTACTTAAGCATGCCGTGGACTTTATAATTTTATACATACATTTACATTTTATCCCTTTCTTTCTCCCTAGAAGAGTGAACTTAGGAGTTTTCAAGGTTCATAAGAAAAATGTTATAGTATAAAAGATTGTTGAACCAATTCTAAAAAATTTTAAAGTACTGAGAATGCAAGTACTCACTTAATCTAAGTGCAATCGAATAAATGATGGTTTTAAACTATAACTAAGAATAAGAAAAGCGATAATTAAAATAACTTCCTTTGATTAAGGGAAAAGAGAAGTCATGGGAGTAGGGATTAGACCTTGGGTGATCAAACTTCGAACTAAGAATGGCAAATGATCAATTAAACTTTCAACCTTAAGCCTAGACACATCTCTAAGCAAGCTCTATGTCTAGATGAATGCTCATTTACTAACATAACTCAAACATCAAATGTTTTCGATTGAATGTTATAAAAGTAATGTTTAAGAACAAGTCTATTAGTCATCTTAACACCTTTAACAACAAATTTCTTTGGTAAAGTATGTTAAAAGCTTAGGAGAATTGGCTCAGACATTTCATCGAACACCTTGTGAGGTGGGAAAATGCCTAAAGCTCAACCTTTAAGAGACCAACTCAAAACATACATTAAGAATACTCTACTAGCAAGGAAATAAGAGAAACCTACACTAAACATCCTAGTTCTAGCCTAATCACCCTTAATCTCCTTATCCCATGAATTCAAAAGTGGATTACTCACTAATCTTCATGATTCCTCTTAAACCCATGCTGGATTCAAGCTTAATCATATAAGATGAGTGGATAATGCAATGAAACAAAACAAGATCACAAGAACAATGAAGAATGATTCTAGAAATGAAAACCCCAAGAGGTTTTTGTGTGCTTCTCCTTCAGATCAAGATTCTCTGCCTGGTAGGCTACAAAAGGGTCTTTAACTTACGTTTAGGAAGTGTAAAAACATGAAACAAATGACCAAAAGGTCCCTAGAAAATACAAGGTTTCGCCGGTTCGGGAGGTCGCTCTGTCTGGGAGCGACCTATGGACATCGCTTTGAGACGTCGCTCCAAGGGCTGTTTCGGCTTTCGGATTTGATAAAAAGGCGAGCAAACTAGGTGCCTCCCTCCGGGAGGTCGCTCTGGCTGGGAACGACCTATGAACATCACTCCAGGACGTTGCTCTGGATGGCAGCGACCTATGGACGTCGCTCCAGGACCTCCTCCTGCAACCGAGTGTCAAAAGGCCGAGCGACCATGACGTCTCGCTCTGGCTTGGGAGCGACGTCATGGGGTCGCTCTGGCACTTCGTTCCTGCCTTACTCGTCCAATGATCACTTCAAACTGCTCTTTTGGACCTCAAATGAATCCAACCACCTCCAAGAACTCCAAGGATACTCCAATATCCTATAAGAACTCATGTATGCAAAATGCAACCTAGAAATGACTAAATCCTAGTCTATATGATCAAAATGTATATGGATGAATGGATAAAACAATGAAAATATGTAAGACATCAAAGAGCAAAACAAAAAATTGCTTTTTCTATAATCTGGTTACGTAAAACTTTGTTAAGAACATATTTTTAATTAATTCAACTCTGTGAATAAATTTATTTTGTATCAATCTCAAAAAATTTATTATGTAGTGTTTCGTCAAAAAAAGTTATTATGTTTGTTTTCCAAAATATGTCGAGAGCTCTGCATATCTGTCAAGAACACTTAACAAGTGTGAAGGATAATCTTCTTATTCACATTTGATATCGTGACAGCACTTATATGTACTTACATATTATACAACCTAGGCTAAAACTATACACATTAATTTACAGAGCATAACCGGCATATATATGACCAAATACTTCTTTAAGGTTAGAAACATCTAACTTGAATAAAATATACTTTAACTCAAGATTTGTATTTATAAAAAAGTTGTAAACCATTTTAATTTTAACCAGCTTCTGCTAACAATTTGTATTAAAGCACAAGATGCATCATGTATTGTTATTTGATTGTTTCTTATAAATTTAAAGATCTGAGATTAATATGTAATGTACTTATTAAATAGGATCAAAATAATCACTATTTTGTTAAAATGTATGAAAACAAAAAAGAACATATATAATTGTAGGATAATATTGACACTATATTGAATGTTGAAATGAATTGTAAAATACATAGATAGAATTGTTGTAAAATAATTATGAACCTCTTAATACTTATTTTAATCAAAATAAAGTAAAATTTTAAAATAATTTTGTACTAAGTTTATTTGATCAATATATAATAATTTAAATATGTATAGTAAAATTATTGTAAGGATTATATTTTATATATTAGTCACTAAAATTTGTTTCAAAATTCTAATTAACTATTTCGCTAACATGTGAATTCATTTCCATATATAGTAAAGATGGTTTCATATTATCTATTTATCTGTCTTAAAAAATCTTAGTTCTAGTAAATAAAATCATATAAATCATTAGCTTTTTAAAATGGTATAAAGAAAAAAATTTAATTCACAAATATATATATTGGTAATCTTCATGAAACTTCACTCTGCATACTCCAGTCGACTATAGTTTGTTTTTTTTATCTATGTTACCTATTGGTATAGTTAAATACAAAAATATATATTAAAAAAGTATATATTACAGTTTTATAAGTTTATTTTAGTTAGACAAGTATTAATTCTGAAATGAATAGTTAAATAAATAGCTAAAATTTTGTAAAAAATTATAAACTTTAATACTACTTTTTACTTAACCGCTAGTTTCCCAAGTACTGAATTGTTTAATAAAGGTATGACTTTTCTGATAGTATGCCTTTAAATATTGAAAATAAATTTCAACTAATCTTTCGTATATTCTCCTGTATGTAAGGTGGGTTTATCGTAGAGTAATATCATTTTACTCTCAGCATGTCGGGAATGGATTTTTTAGACGACATGTTTCCAATCTAGAATAATACATATGTGGCCTTTATACCATTACTGGTTTTTATTTTATATTATCCCTACTTTCATTATTAATAAAATTTCTTGGAATTTTAAATAACAACAACAGTAAAAATTCAGTCTTTATAGTTATATAATTAAAATTTGTGTAGATAACACTATCGTATGTAACCCCAACTTAACAAAAAATTTAAAAATTGTTACATATTTTATAAAAATATCATCCAGTGCATCATTCAATTCTGCGCGTAGTGCGGACTGGCCCTAATTTGTATATCTTTTCAAGTATTTTGATAAAGTATCTTATATATGTTAGATATTAAACGTAAGAATAATTAATATATTTAAGAATATAAATTTGATTCAGATATATTTGGATATCCGAACTATTTTTGATTCGGATTGGGTTTGATTCGGGTTCTCTAGATATCAAAATTCTGAACCTATTCGATATCTAACCAAAGTACTACATTTTCGGATCAGATTTGGTTCGGTTTTTCGGATTGGGTATTTTTGCCAGCTCCATTATCCAGCTTATCAAATGGCACGTTGCCACGTTGTGTGAAACTTAACAAAACGCAGGATGTGCATCCGTGTGTAAAACAAAATCTAAACGACAGGATGTGCTTACGTGTGGTAACAAAAATTTAAAAGAGTATCATTGACTAGACCAGAGGGTGGTGTTCTTAAGCGTGATTATTCGCCGCCGCCTACTTGTTCAGAGAAGAGAAAATGGGAGGTGTAATATCATCTATAATTGGAGGTGGGGGAGAAGAAGCTGTTGCAGGGAATGAATATGAGCAAAGTCGCGTCATGAAGTTTACCTCATCGGCTCGGTGGCAGCTTCTCTTCAACGAGATCAAAGAATCATCAAAACTGGTATGTATCCATCCGATCAGATCCGATTCTTTAGATTTGAAATCGATTTAACTGATATTGGGTTTTTGAATTGTGGGAGAAAAGCTGGTGGTTGACTTCTCCGCATCCTGGTGTGGACCTTGTAGGATGATAGAGCCTGCGTTCATCGCCATGGCTGCCAAGTTCACTGATGTTGATTTCGTCAAGTTGGATGTCGATGATCTTCGCGTAAGTATTTATTCTCCTTGTTTATTGTATAACTCATCACTTTGATTGGTCCATTGATGAAAGTAGATAGCTTTATAGTACAGCTGTAAACAGGATCGAACCGATTTCTGATGATATAAGATAAGTATTTGATGAAATGGGTTTAACTAGAATGAGGAAAACAATATCGAAACTTTACTATAATATATACGACCAAGGTTTCAGTTTTCTTGGTTTCTCGTTTATATCTAACTCAACAGTTTGATAAATTAATAGCTTTATACTTTATAGTATAGCTGTGGATCGGATCAAGTTCTGATGATAGAAGATAATATCTTGTGGTAATGTGTTTAACCGCCTGCTTTTTTGTTTTTGTAAAGAGATTTACTGCATTCTGTCATGGTTATACTATAATATACAGCCAAGGTTTCAATTTTCTTCTGTCTCTTGACATTTGTATCCATCATTACTTGGATTGATCTCCATTGTTCACTGTTTCTGCTAGTATGGAGTTTGTAAAGTAGAAAATAGATTTTTTTTTTGGTATGGTACATCTGCAGATCACTCGAGTTGCTTGAGATGGATTCAACCACCTGCTTCTGTTTTCCACATTTCATGTGTATTTTTTGTTATGAGACCGAAGGTTTTAAAACTTACTACATGATATCAGGATGTGGCTAAAGAGTTCAATGTGACGGGGATGCCAACATTTGTGCTGGTGAAAAATGGTAAGGAGATTGACAGGATAGTTGGAGCCAGGAAAGATGAACTTGAGAAGAAAGTTGTCAAACACAGGGCATAGTGATCAAATTAAGTGAACACCTTCACCAAATAGCCATTGTGTAAAACCTATTACTACTAATAATTCGCTTTGTTGATTCCTCTTTCTCCCTTCTGTAATGGTTTGCTGAAAATGTTTTAGACTCTGCTCTATGATAATTAAGTTTATACATCTACTCTTGATTGCATCAGCTGAGCCCTAAATTTGATAGTCAATACGGTTTGGTTTACCCATGAATAAAAACGTAACGAACAATTTGCTGAGAATAACTTCTCTTGTAGCTGTTGTTTGTGGTGTTGTGGTGTGTAGACGTACCAATGAATTCTCTGTGAATTTCACAGAGAATTTCTCCAAGAAGCAATGGTATTGTTATCTGATAGACTTGTTGCTGTCTGTATTCATCGAGTGAATTTCACCATTCCTTGAGTGCTCTAGATAGATAGACAGTAAATTATTGTATTATCAAGTGTAGAGGTGGCGAAAAGGCTTCTGAGTTCATCCATGCATGAAATTCGTCTAGACGATCATTCTATTTCTCAAAAGGAATATCATTGAAAGTGAATACCATGACTTTTGAAGTGAAATGTTTTGTTGTCTGTATTTCTATTTTAGGTGGCGGCATGAATTCCATATCTTCATCGCTTAAGTAAACTTCGTTGATATTTAGTTATTTCTTTGGAGTGTATGAACTTTCTCCAATTGCGAATTTTCTTGGGAGAGGTTCTTCATAGGAGTCGATCTCATAGTCGCTTGAACTTGAATCTGAGAGATGTTCAATTTTGGCAATAGATTTTGCAGACGAAGACTGTAAATTCTCTTTGAATTTTGACGATTGATCAGACATCTCCGGGTCTTTTCCAAGAGTGTTAAGTAGGCTGGTCATTGAAAGTTCAATTATTCCAATGTCTTTTCCTTTTTCTTTATTTGTCTTATCATCAACAGATTCGTGGTTGGAGGATGAAGTAAGAACATGTCTTTTATTTGGATTGGCTTGGAAATCTGACTCCTTTTGTCTTCGAGGTTTTGAACGTGTTTGTTTCGGCTGTGGATAGATAATATATGTCGATCTATAGTGAGATGTGAAGATTTCGTCGGATGAGGAGAAGCCTGGTAGTGGATTTTTTGCCTTTTGAGTTTGATTTCCTGAGAGAAATCCAGGGGAATGGGATCCTTGGTATGTAGGCATCCCTGGTGATATGTATCCAAGAGGATCGAAGTGAGCATCGGAACGTTGCTGACTCTGAATCATGCTTTCGAGGCTTCTTTGGAGATCTTTTAGTTAATTTTTTAGGCTGGCCATCTCTGCTTCTTTGTTGCGGAATTGGGTTGTATTTACCATCATGTTTTGTGCCATAATCGTCATTTCATGGTGAAGATTGTTGAGTCTTCCATATATCTCAGTGATTGAGTTTTGAAGGCTGTGTTGTTGCTATTTTCTTTCAATTTATCAACTTTGTTATTAATTGTGGATAAAATTTGATTTTGGGTGAGAGCGTTCTCAGTTTGTCAGTTGAGATTTTTCTCTGCTTGATTCAACTGATCAGGGCCAGAAGAGTTGACGCATTGAGAGATAATTTTTGGGCAATGAGCGATATTGTTTTTGATGAAATCTTCTCTTGGAGGGAAATCATCCAGATCTATCATCATGAGTTATTTTAGGTCTTCTCGTTTTTCGGAATATGATCGATAAATTTGTATTTATCATCACCAAGTGGTCCGACTGTGAGGTCTTCTTCATGGTATCTTTTATAGAGTGGGTCTTTCTTCATTCTTCGCTTTGTTCGGTCGTGTTCACCGGATTCGTAATATGCTTCTTCACAGGTAGGACAATAGCATATGTTGATGAACTGGTGGCCAGTTTCATCTTTGAAGGAGTAGATTGCATTGCCATCTAATTTAAAGTATAATGGTTTAGGAATTTGTGGTCTTCTATCGATTTCGTCGGTTCTTTTGTCTATTTGTATTGCAAATTAAGTGAATAATTGCTTTCGAAATGATGATGATCTTGGCTTCTCGAATTAGATTTCTATTGTTCTATCATTCTATGATCAGAAAGTGACGTCCGATGATTGAATATTAGACTGCGTAGTTTGATGGAACTTTTCATAGCTTGTTACCCATGATTTCGGTAGCTGCAATACAAATACGGAATATATCTGCATGGTTTAGTCTTGTTCAACTTAGAAATTTAACCATTAGTGTTCATGTTTTTTTCTTTTGATCCATCTTCATATTCTCATAAATATATAAAATGGCGATTTGAAAAAATAGCTTACATCTCGAAAGACAACCGGTTGAGTTAAACCACAGCGATAATATTGGTTTTTGTAAATAATGAATGCCTTGAAACGGTGTCGTATAGAGACGTAGACAAAGAGTTGTCTAAACTTGTTCGTGGTGTTGAAACTCTCCGAATCTCGCCATTTCCACAAAACCCCCAAATGGGTTCTATGTACAGAGCCTCTAAAACCCTAAAATCGTCGAGACAAGCATTAACCCTCTTGTTCAATCCAGTCAAATCCATTGGACGAGATCCTTCATGTTCCGGATTGCACCAAGCTTACGGTTTCAGCTCAGATTCTAAACAAAACTCCAGAGAACCCGCCATTGATTTGACCCAGTTTCCATCCGAAAAGATCCGAAATTTCTCCATCATTGCTCATATTGATCATGGCAAATCTACCTTGGCCGATCGTCTCATGGAACTTACTGGCACCATCAAGAAAGGCCATGGTCAGCCCCAATATCTCGACAAATTGCAGGTACCCTTAAAGTAATTTACGACCTTTCCTCCTTGACTACAGAAAAATGTTTCATAAACTTTTAATTCTTGGTGATGGTTAAAAGAAACTATGGATGTTTGTTAAAGAGGAAATGTTAATAAAGTTTGAAACTTTATCTGCTTGGTGATGATTAAGTAGTATGGCTGTTTGCTATAGTGGCTTTAGACGAAGGTTTCATAAAAGTTGAAGCTTTATTTGTTCAAAGCTGTTACTGTTTTACTTTGTGATGGTTAAGTAGTTATGGATGTTTGTTGTAGTTGGATTCAGAAGAAATGTTCCATAAAATTTTGATTTTTTTTTGAGTCTGGGATGAGTAATAAAGTAGTTGTGGATTTTTGTTTTAGGTAGAGAGGGAGAGAGGAATCACTGTGAAAGCTCAAACAGCGACAATGTTCTACGAAAACAAAGTAAAAGATCAAGAAGCGAGCGCTTTTCTTCTGAACCTAATTGATACACCAGGCCATGTTGACTTTAGCTATGAGGTCTCTAGATCGTTATCCGCTTGTCAAGGAGCTCTCTTGGTCGTTGATGCGGCTCAAGGTGTTCAAGCACAAACCGTGGCTAACTTTTACTTAGCGTTCGAAGCTAACCTCACTATCGTACCTGTGATTAACAAGATCGATCAACCAACAGCTGATCCTGACCGTGTCAAAGCTCAGCTAAAGTCCATGTTTGATCTCGACACAGATGAGGTCCTTCTAGTCTCTGCTAAAACCGGCTTGGGGCTCGAGCATGTGCTTCCCGCGGTTATAGAACGGATACCTCCTCCTCCTGGGATCAGCGACTCGCCTCTACGGATGCTTTTGTTCGATTCCTTTTTTAATGAATACAAAGGTGTTGTTTGCTATGTCTCTGTCGTTGATGGAATGCTGACGAAAGGAGATAAGGTCTCGTTCGCTGCGACGGGCCAGTCTTATGAAGTGTTAGATGTCGGGATCATGCATCCTGAGCTTACTTCTACAGGAATGCTTCTTACAGGACAGGTTGGTTATATAGTAACTGGCATGCGAACTACCAAAGAGGCACGTATTGGTGACACAATCTACAGAACAAAAACCACTGTGGAGCCTCTTCCAGGTACTTGTTTCTCTCTTATGTCACTCTTGTAACTGAGAATTGAGAATCTTTATGAGCTTATGGTGGAATGTAGGTTTCAAGCCGGTGAGGCATATGGTGTTCTCAGGCGTTTATCCTGCTGATGGATCTGATTTCGAAGCACTTACTCATGCCATAGAGAAACTGACATGTAACGATGCAAGTGTCTCGGTGGCTAAGGAAACAAGCGCAGCTCTTGGGATGGGATTTAGATGTGGCTTCCTCGGTTTGCTTCACATGGATGTATTTCATCAGAGGCTTGAGCAAGAGTACGGTACACAAGTGATCTCCACGATCCCTACCGTGCCTTACACGTTTGAATACTCAGATGGAAGCAAGTTGCAAGTGCAGAATCCTGCTGCCTTACCTTCAAACCCGAAATACAGAGTCACAGCTTCTTGGGAGCCAACGGTGATCGCCACAATCATCCTTCCTAGTGAGTACGTAGGAGCTGTGATCAACCTCTGCTCTGACCGGAGAGGTCAGCAGCTAGAATACACATTTATAGACGCACAACGTGTTTTCTTGAAGTACCAGTTACCGTTGAGGGAGATAGTTGTTGACTTCTACGATGAGTTGAAAAGCATAACATCAGGTTACGCTTCTTTCGACTACGAGGATGCAGAGTACCAGAAATCTGATCTTGTGAAGCTTGACATCCTCTTGAATGGTCAAGCAGTTGATGCTTTAGCAACTATTGTTCACAACCAGAAAGCATACCGTGTGGGTAAAGAACTTGTGGAGAAGCTTAAGAACTTCATAGAGAGGCAGATGTTTGAAGTGATGATACAAGCTGCTATTGGTTCAAAGATCATTGCGAGAGACACAATATCTGCGATGAGAAAGAATGTGCTTGCGAAATGTTATGGAGGAGACATAACTAGGAAGAAGAAGCTTCTTGAGAAGCAGAAAGAAGGGAAGAAAAGGATGAAGAGAGTTGGTTCTGTTGATATACCACATGAGGCTTTTCAACAAATACTCAAAGTCTCTTAGACTAAAATCAAATGGTACTAGTTTATTATGCAGTTCAAGATTATTCTTTTTTGAGGAAATTTACAAAAGTTGGAGAGTTTTTTTTATACAATTTCACTTTCTAAAATATTATTTAAGAAATCAGTTTTATACATTTTTCACATTAATTAT